TAGAGGGTTTTATCAGTCTAATTCAGAAACACGATAACGGAGTCTTTAATTACGGAGCCAAGTGAAGGCGTGAATCCTTGTATACCTATGCTGGCGACTGTACTCTGATATTTACTTATTCAGGAGAGAATATAACTGCTTCTCTCATTTATATCAATCACCACCTCACGGCTATATCAGCATGGGGAAAACAAAAGCAGATTACTTTTGTTTTTGAAAAGACACATGTGATGGTCTTTAAGCACCACGATGGTGACTAGAGAATGAATGGGAGAGAGCGTGTGTGAACCTAGGGGTGAGGTGGATATCCTTGGGGTAAAATTTGATTCTAAACTCTCTATGACGAATCGCGCAGTAAATTTCGCAAGCAAGGCGGCGGAGAAGTAAACAGCACTAAGATGTATCTCGTACCTCCTCGACAGCAGAAGAATGGAGAGCAGATCAGATCACAACGACTTATGTCTCGCCTGGACCCGGCCTGGACAGATATATCATATCAGCAGAGCCTTTAACACCAGAGGGATGTGGGCGGTTTTCCTGTTATGTAAAAGGCCAATGTAGTCAAAGAACCACACTTGGTTCTACCTCGCTGACAGCGAGAAAACATCTACACAACAAGACGGGTAGCAAACAGCAACTACACTTTGGCTGTGTCATTCTCAAGAACATCTCTTTATCTGAGATTCATTCGCAGAATGGCTTGAGTCTAGAATATGTTCTTACAGCATAACGACAGAGAAGAAATAAAGTCAGTTGATCAAAAGAAATCGCTGGTCCATAGACGGATTAACTGACAAGCTCTTAGTTTGTAAAGTAAGATGGGAACTCTTTACCTAACCCTGTAAAAATCCTTGTGTAAAAAAAAAAAAAATAAAGATGTGGGCACATAAAGGTGGGGTCCTGAAATGGAAGTACACCATCGCATTCTTTATTGTTTATCCTCGAAAATGCATGCCACTGAAGCACACTCGCTATTGCATGCACACTACAGAAAACAATAGCACCAGCAGGTCAAGTGAGCGTCAGATGTGCCAAGCGATTGGCAGGCCCGGGAAGGTTCCTAGCAAGTTTGGAACTTGCCATGATCGAGGAAGATTCCTAGCACTATGTGTGTCCTTAAAGTGGTCTTTTACTAATAACTAGTTAGGTGGGCAGAGTTACACTGGTTAACAAGAGTAGAAGAGAGTTCTCACAGCACTATGAGCGAGAATCAGTCAGTATACTCTGGTCACTGGCTCTTATACAACACAAAAATAGTGTTTATTTAAAAGTAAAAAAAAGAAAAAAACAGACGTATCTTATTTCGTCCATATGTTCTGTCCCATGAGGGACTGTAAACTTACACTTACTTGAAATGGTCAACATAGAATTAGGACGCTGTATGGTTGTAAACAGTATGTTGTCACCGACAAACTATAGAAGAGGACACGTTTGCTCCGTTCAGTACATTTATTAAATGAAACATTTCGCCACGGGTGGAAGAAACGTTGGTATAAACCTTGGTAATAAATACCGACAAGTTGGTTTAGAAAGACACGTAAGCAAACACTATAACATATTTATTAGAAAACGTTTCGGTCCTGGGACCTTGATCACTTCTAACATACAGAGGTAGAAAGACATTATATATATAGGCGGAGAGTGAGATGTGACGCACGTGACCTGAGGAATGTCATAAGAACATAAGAATGGAGGAACACTGTAGAAGGCCTACTGGCCCATGCGAGGCAGGTCCTTATCAAAACAACCTCTACCTATGATGAGGACGGGTAGACGATGAAATCATGTGACTCCTGTGTTGTTGGTTGGTGCTGCTTAAGTATCATGTATGCCAATGTTTTGAAATTTTGTAGTTTCCAGTGTTGCGTTCTATAGTGTCGGTGACGGCGATTAGTGAGGCTTCTAGGCACCGTCGGCGTCTGAGGTCTGGTTCGGTGAGAACGAGTTGTGCCTCGTTCCAGTTCATCAAATGCCCCGTGGAGTCTCTGTGGAGGACACAGGCGTACCTTATATTATATATATATATATATATATATATATATATATAATATATATATATATATATATATATATATATATATATATATATATATAATATATATATATATGTATATATATATATATATATATATATATATATATATATAATAATAATACATTATATATATATATATATATATATATATATATATATATATATATATATATATATATTATATATATATATATATATATGTCGTGCCGAATAGGCAGAACTTGCGATCTTGGCTTAAAAAGCAACGCTCATCTTGCCATATAGGACAAGCGAAAATTTGTGTATGCAATAATTTCGCCAAAATCATTCTGAACCTAACGAAAAAAATATATTTCACTGTGTTTGTTTAGTATTAAATTACTGTAAACAAATCTAAAATATATACAGTTGGGTTAGGCTAAAATAAATTGTTCTTGTTATAATAAGGTTAGGTAAGTTTTCTAAGATTCTTTTGGAGCAAAATTAAAAATTTTTACATTAACATTAATGAAAAAAATATATCTTTAAACGTATAAGAGAAGATTTTAGAAAGGACTTAATTTTAAATGAGTTCTTGCTAATTGACCAGTTTTACATATTCGGCACGACATATATATATATATATATAATATATATATATATATATATATATATATATATATATATATATATATATATATATATATATAATATATATATATATATAATATATATATATATATATATATATGTATGTATATAACATTCGCCTAGAAGATGCTAGTTTACTCCAGCCACACCAACTGGGCTTTGGGGTCTCTCAAGGCAGTGAAGCGGCAGCTCGTGCAGCAAGGGCCTAACTCCACTTCTCTTCTGCTTGACAGTAAGAGAACTAACTTTCAGCCTGCGCAGCGAACTCAACATCTGGTACCTGGATTATGGCACTCTTTACAACTGGTAAAGACACAGTGAGAAGACTTGGGACTCAATCCCTCCAAGTGTGAAACCATCATAACGAATCAGGAGATAATCAGATCTGTGTGAACAATCCTCCCTGAAGTCTCTACTACCACTCTGATAAATTAGACACATGTGCAACTCTTGGGTATCTTTATTGAGGAAACGTTTCGCCACACAGTGGCTTCATCAATCCATACAAAGGAGAATCTTGAAGAACGGGAGGAGAATGAGGTAATCAGTCCCTCAACCTTGAGTCGATGTGGTCAGTCCATCAATCTTGAATAGAATACGGCATATATGCGGAGAAGGAGCTTATAAACCGTAGGCAGGAGAGGTGCAGCAGTCATAGATGGTGTCACATTTGTTCAATGTGGAAGTAGGTCGTGCCCAAGGGTTATGCAAGCGAAGAATTCCCATGTATTAAGATCTCAAGAAGTTGCAGTGTCTGGCAGGATTGTAGATGAATGGTTCAGAGAACCGACACGTAGATAAATTTATCAACGTGTCGGTTCTCTGAACCATTCATCTACAATACTACCACTCTATTAAAGACCACCATCTTGGGAGCACCACTGGACCATCAGGCCATTGACTCAGTCCTCAAGGACAAACTGAATGACCTGAAGAGAATGGAGGAGAGAATAAGAGATCTTGATGCCTATGGTGCCCTGTATCTCCTCACATGGTGTCTTACTGTGCCAAGACTCACTTCCTGAGGTGCGCACCATCTTTTAACAACCCAACACTCAACGAATATGACTCACTCTTGAGATCCATCTCTAAGAAGGCACTGAATTTGTCACTGGAAGATCAGCAATGGGATCAGGCAACTCTCCCAGTACGAGTGGAAGGTATAGGGGTGCCCAAGGCAATGAAGGAAGCTTTACCTACATTTCTGTCTTCGCATTTGGCTTCCAGTGGACTAGTCAAGGAGATTGTCCCCGAACACTTGAGAGGTGCGGTAGTAGCTCAAGACCCCTTGTTCATTGAAGCAGCCATGTGGTGGGACACCCTTGCAGACTCCTCCAGTATACCAGCTCCCCACAAAGAGCACAAACAGTCCCACTGGGACAAACCGATCATGGAAAAAGTCGCCAACACAATGCTCATCAACACTTCAGGAAAGGACAAAGTTCGTCTCCTAGTGGTGAAGGCACCACATTCAGGAGGTTTCCTTTTAGCTCTTCCCAATTCCTCTCTGGACACTCGACTCGACCCACAGGCCATTCGGATTGGTGCTGCTCTTCCCCTAGCCGCCCCCATCCTCACCGAACATAGGTGTATTTGCGGCAGGTCGTCGGCTGATCAATTCGGACGTCATGGTCTCGTGTGTCATACATCAAAAGGGAAGTATGCTACACATGAGGAGGTCAACGACATCATAAAGAGAAGCCTCGCCACAGCCCGTTGCCCAGTTGAACGGGAACCCCAAGTACAGAGGTCTGACGGGAGTCAAAATCGTCATGCTGGAGTCACTATGCTACCCTGGAAGGATGGAAAGCAGATTGCCTGGGACTACACCTGTATCGCCACTTTGGCAAACACCTACTTTCTATACTCTGAAGCTGAAGGGGGTGGAGCCACCAGATTTAGGGAGACCCAGAAAACCCACAAATATGAAGGCCTTCCCTCTTCCTATAACTTCATCCCAGTAGGGTCGGAGACCCTTGGAGCATGGGGAAAGTGTGCTCTAAAGTTCCTCAAAGACCTGGGTGAAAAACTATCACAAAAATCAAGGATCACAGGGCGGCCAGCTTCCTCTCTCAGAGACTCAGTGTTGCAATTCAGAGGGGAAATGCCTGCAGGATTCTGGGCACGCGGCACGGTGCCGGGGAGCTGGACGAAGTATTCTGGATATAGCTCTGAGATGTTATCTATGTTCTTCTAATCCCTATTGTATTTTTGTCAGTTTATTTTGTGTCTTAATAAAGTCTTTATATATATATATATATATATATATATATATATATATATATATATATATATTATAATATATATATATATATACTACTGTATTTTATTGGGTAAATTAATAAAAACGTTATAA